ACCGGGCAGTAGGAGAAGGGTAAATGGGGGTTAAAGACAGTTTCCGCGATGGAAGTGAACAATTCCCACATTGTGGCCGTCGAGAACTTTGATATTAATTTAAACGACGGCAAAATTTGTCCACAACTGCAGCTCAACTAATTCATCATTCAGCCAACCAGTTAATTAGAGCTCAGAAAAGACAACCGGGCAATTACTTCTCCAGGAGTCCGCGTGTGTGTGTGTGGTGTGTGTGTGTGTGCGTGTGTGTGTGTGTGTGTGCGTGTGTGTGTGTGCGTGTGTGTGTGTGTGCGTGTGTGTGTGTGTGCGTGTGCGTGTGTGTGTCTCTCGCGCTCTCACTCTCTCTGGATCACAGTGTTATCTGCTCCCATCAGCCTTTCAGGCCGTGGGTTCCAGACGCTAACAACTCTGCAGGTCTGCAGTCTGTCTATGATTGCAGTGGTGAGGCATCACCTTGTTGACGAGTATCAACAAGATCATAATAATAATAATCCCTCCAAAAAAACCCAAAAAACAATAATAAAAAAAAAATTGGTCATTTTCAACCCACGACTGTTTGTGGGACATTGCTGTGCGCCATCGGCCGCCGCGTTCGCCCACAAATATACAGTCAATTCACTTTACAGTGTGTTCTGTGAAGCGCTTTGGGACGTCCTCTCCCGACGTGAAAAGCGCTATATCAAATGCGAGGATTATTATTATTATTATTATAAAACAATGTCTCCTCGTCTGTCCTCCCCTCCGGCTCTTGTTCCGCTTCCATTGAACCCCACGTTTACAAGTGGCCGTCAATGGCGCTGTGCGATGGAGACTGTTACGAAACGACGCCGCGATATTAAAATAAAAGAGGCTGCGGATTAACGGGCGGATGAAACGATTAGAGTTTAAAGCCGAACATTCGCGGGATTTAAGTGAAGTGAAACCTCCGGAGGTTTGAAGCGTCTCGAGCTGAACGTTTCCCTTCTGCTCTCGTTAACAGGCCCTTCCCCCCCCAACCCCCCTCCAAAAAAAAAGCCAGCCCCAAAATCGCCACCTTGTCTCGTCCGACTCGTAAAACATTCCCCGATGGCCGCGTGGCGGTGCCCAGCCTTGGCTTCTCCTGCCCTGGGGGCCGGCTGTCTCGTGCCCCTGTTGTTGGCGATGGTGACGACAACTGTTTGGGCGGCGGAAGGAACCGAGGCAGGAGATCCCTCGGACTCCAGGAACTCATCGTGTCGAGGCTCCTTCGAGTGCAACAGGGGGATCATCCTCCCCATATGGTACCCCCAGAACCCATCCTTTGGGGACAAAGTCGCCCGGGCCATTGTCTACTTTGTTGCCCTCTTGTACTTGTTCCTGGGCGTCTCGATCATCGCTGACCGTTTCATGGCTTCCATAGAAGTCATCACCTCGCAGGAGAAGGAGATCACCATCACCAAACCCAACGGCGAGACCACAGTGGCCACCGTCAGGATCTGGAACGAGACCGTCTCCAACCTGACCCTCATGGCCCTGGGCTCCTCGGCCCCCGAGATCCTGCTGTCGGTCATCGAGGTGGTGGGGCACGGCTTCAAGGCGGGGCAGCTGGGCCCCGGCACCATCGTGGGCAGCGCGGCCTTCAACATGTTCGTGATCATCGCTGTCTGCGTCTACATCATCCCTGACGGGGAGGTGCGGAGGATCAAGCACCTGCGGGTGTTCTTCGTTACTGCCTCGTGGAGCATTTTCGCCTACATCTGGCTCTACCTGATCCTGGCCGTGTTCTCTCCTGGGGTGGTCAAGGTCTGGGAAGGGTTGTCCACCCTCATGTTCTTCCCGGTCTGCGTGGTCTTCGCCTGGATCGCCGACAAGCGGCTGTTCTTCTACAAGTACTACGTTTACCGCAGATACCGGGTGGACAGCAGGAGCGGGGTCATCTTGGGCACCGAGGGAGAGCTGCCCAAAGGGATCGAGATGGACGGGAAAGCCACCCAAGATCAAGAGGACCACGTTCTTGCCGATGGGACCGTGGTCAGCCTTGAAGGCAAGGACCTGGACGAGAGCCGCAAGGAAGCCATCCAGATCCTCAAGGACCTCAAGCAGAAATATCCCAACCGGGAACTGGAGCAGCTGGTGGAAATGGCCAATTACTGCGCCCTCCTTCACCAGCAGAAGAGCCGGGCCTTTTACCGCATCCAGGCCACACGCATGATGATCGGGGCGGGCAACATCCTGCGGAAACACGCTTGCGATCACGCCAAGAAGACCAACCCGCTGGAGGTCAAGCTCGACCCGACCCAGGAGCTGACCAGCAAGATCTACTTCGAGCCGTGCTCATACCAGTGCGTGGAGAACTGCGGGTTTGTGTCCCTCACCGTGGTCTGCAAGGGCGGGGAGCAGAACAGCACGTTCTACGTGGACTTCAGGACAGAAGACGGCTCTGCCAACGGCGGCTCGGACTACGAGTACAGCGAGGGGACCCTCATCTTCAAGCCGGGGGAAACCAGCAAAGAAATCAAGGTAGGCATCATCGATGACGACATCTTCGAGGAGGACGAGCATTTCTTCGTGCGACTGGGCAACCTCCGGATTGGCGACGCGGAAGGAATGTTCGACTCGGAGACCACGACCTACCCCAAAGGCCAACTGGTTCCCCCTCAAGTGGCCACGGTGACCATCTTAGACGACGACCACGCTGGGATCTTCACCTTCGATGAGAAGATCGTCCGGGTCAGCGAGAGCATCGGGGTGATGGAGGCCAAGGTACTGAGGACCTCGGGGGCCAGAGGCACCGTCATCGTCCCCTACAGGACCGTCGACGGAACGGCGAAGGGAGAGGGCGTGGACTATGAGGATGGCCACGGAGAGCTCGAGTTTCTCAACGACGAGACGGTGTAAGTACAAAATCCCGTCCCGAGAGGGAACTCGGCAGATCCTTACAAAGGAAAAATGTGCGGGGCTATGGGGTGAGAAAAACCGGGGGAGTGGGGACTAGTTGGTTGCTCTCTCAAAGAGCTGTCACAGACCCGATGGGCTGAATGGCCTCCTTCTGTGCCATAAGGTCCTACACCTAAGGGGAAGGGGGGGTCCGATCAAGAGATTGGGAAGGATTTTAACTTCCTGCAGTGATTATTATTTGGCCGATGTCGGAGGTTGGAAAATCCGCCTCCTCCTCGGTTATCGGAAGTCAGAGCCGACTTTATAAGGAATCGGTGGTTAACCGCAGGTCAGTGAACATAGGAGCAGGAGGAGGCCATTCAGCCCCTCGAGCCTGTTCCGCCATTCTATTAGATGACGAGTCATTGACCGGAGGGCACCAGTTTGAGATACTTCGCCCACGAGCCAATGGGGACGTACTTTCTTTTCGCGAGCGGTGTAGTTTTAAGACGCGGAATAGGATTTGTACCCTGTGAGGTGTTTTGGGATCTCCTCCTGACGTGGGAACCCGCACCGTTTGGCCGTCGAGAGAGAGGGAGGGAGAGAGGGAGGGAGAGAGGGGTGAGAGAGAGAGAGAGAGAGAGAGAGAGAGCGCTGGCTGGCCAGGATTTTATCAAACGCGAGGATTAATATTATTTATTGTGGTCCGGACACAAGTTTTGTGACTGTATCTCATACCAGAAATAAGCCCTCGTCCCCGTCTTGTCGGGGAAGCGTCCGACTGCTCGATCTGCGCCCAGTAACGTCCCACAAACAAACACTCGTAGACGGGGCGACCAAATTATTATTATTATTATTATTATTATCATCTCGTGATGGTTGGGTGAGACCCGGGATTTCTCACAAAGGCCGGTGTTTGCCTTCAGAGGGCAAACCACGAGGACTATGAGATAGTTGGTCTCCTTCCTACCTCCGTAAACCCCCCCAACCCCCCCCCCACCCCACCATCGCTGGTCAAGGCCTTCAGCCCCTCTGCCCCCACCCTCCGGAACTCCGTCCCTCCATCTCGTCCCCTCCCTCGCCTCCTTCGAGGCCCATCTCAAGGCCCTCCTCTTCGACCGACCGCTCCTTCGGTCACCCTCCTACCTCCCCACCCTCCCTCCCCGCCCTCGAAGCCCCTCCTGATCCCGACCCCCAGCTCGGGGGCCAAACCCCCCCCCGACCGTCCAGCCATCTTGGGGACGCCCCCTCCCCGGCGTGAAAGGCGACGTGTAACATGTCGTCGTTGTTTGGAACGGAGTTTGTTGGGGCCTTATTTGGTGATTTAATCACCGCTGTGGATCGGCGTCGTTGCTGTGACCCAAACCGATGCCGTGAGATGACAGTGTGTGGACCCGTTCGCCGGAGATTTAACAGCAGAAAATTTATTGGAAAATAACGGAAGTGCAGGTGTTTGCGGCGCAGAACAGGTGTTAATGTTCAGTGTTGTCCTTCAGATTGTTGCGAACCTTCCAACTCGAGTCATCAAAACTCGCAGTAAAATGTCTGTGTCTCTCGGTGGGTATCGCACTCACCTCCCAACCGTGAGGAGACCCCGAGGCAAGTTTCCTTACTCCACACACACACACACACTCACACACACTCACACACACACTCACACACACTCACACAGACACTCACACACACACACACTCACTCACACACAGACACATACTCACAGACACACTCACACAGACACACACTCACACACACTCACACACACTCTCACACACACACTCACACACACTCACACACACTCACACACACACTCACACTCACACAGACACACACTCACACACACTCACACAGACACACACACACACACACACTCACACACACTCACACACACACTCACTCACACACAGACTCACACACACACACACACACACTCACACACACACACACTCACACAGACACACACACTCACACACACACACTCACTCACACACTCACACACACACACACTCACACACACACACTCACACACACACTCACACAGACACACACACACTCACACAGACACACACACACACACTCACACACACTCACACACACACACACACTCACACAGACACACACACTCACACAGACACACACACACACTCACACACACACTCACACACACACACACACACACACACACACTCACACACATCACACACACACACACTCACACACACACACTCACACAGACACACACACACTCACACACACACACTCACACAGACACACACACACTCACACAGACACACACACACACTCACACAGACACACACACACACACTCACACAGACACACACACACTCACACAGACACACACTCACACAGACACACACACACTCACACACACACACTCACACAGACACACACACACTCACACAGACACACACTCACACAGACACACTCACACAGACACACACACACTCACACAGACACACACACACTCACACACACACACACTCACACAGACACACCCACACACAGACACACACACACCCACACACACACCCCCCCACGCGCCTGTGTCCCCGGCAGTCAGTCGCTTGTCAGGCGATTGGGGGATCACTTTTCGGGGGTAATAATCCCTTCAAAACAATAACCATTCGGTGGCTCCGACCCCCCCCCCCCTCCCCGGCTGTTTGTGTGGACGTCGCCGGGCGCGGTCGGCTGCCGCGTTTCACCCCCAAAACACACAGTCACTACACTATACCGCGTGTCCTGCGAAGCGCTTTGAGACGCCGCAGAGCCGTGAACGAGGCGCCGTTTCAAATGCAGAGGATTATTATTATTATTATTATTGCTTTATCGTTTATTATTATTATGAATCGTCGCCGCAAACGAAGCGGAGAACGAATCAGCCTCTTCCCCCGGGAGGAGCCGGAGACCTTTTCCGGGAGAGGTTTCAGTCGGTTCCCCGGGTCCTGTGTACAGCTCTAACCTCTGCAGAGGATTAGACGGTTGTGGTTGAAGAGCCTCTCTCACTGTGTGTGCCTCGAGCAACAGAATCCCACTCCGTAGGGACTCGGCATCGTTCCCACTCGGAACCACACGGCCTTCACCGTCAACAGCGGGGAAATCAGTCCCAGGGCTGCGGAGCCCGGGCCGGAGGGGGCTCTGACACCAGGAATAACACGGATTGTGTGCCCAGGGTTTATATCGGAATAATAATAATCCCGGAGTTTGATATAGCGCCTTATATCAGCTTCCTCCCCCCCCCCCACCACACACCCCCACCCACCAACCCGCCACCACCCCCCACCACCCGGCACCACCCGCCACCACCCCCCCACCACCCGCCACCACCCGCCACCACCACCCCACCACCCGCCACCACCCGCCACCACCACCCGCCACCACCCACCACCACCCACCACCACCCCCCCACCACCCCGCCACCACCCGCCACCACGACCCCCACCACCCCCCACCACCCCACCCCCCTACCACCCGCCACCACCACTCCCCCACCACCCACCACCACCCCGCCCCCCCCCCACCCCCCCCACCCCGCCACCCCCCACCACCCCGCCACCACCCCGCCACCACCCCGCCACCCGCCACCCGCCACCACCCCGCCAACCCACATCCCCCACACCCCACCACCCCGCCACCACCCCCCGCCACCCTGCCCCACCCCACCCCGCCACCACTCCGCCACCAGGCTTCCACCCCCTCCTGAGCCTGACCCCCAGCGTAGTGACTGTGCGTGGGGTTTTGTTTTTCCCGCGGGCGAAGCGCAGCAGCCGATCGCGCCCAGCGACGTCCCCACAAACAGCCGTGGGTTGAGGGGTCATTACCCCCGGACAGGGAGCCCCCAATCGATCGACGGACAAGCGGGTTCCTACTGACTGCTGGGAAACACAGGCGTGTGCGTGTGGGTGTGTGTGTCTGTGTGTGAGTGTCTGTGTGTGTCTGTGTGTGTGTATTCCAAGTCCCTGACATGTGGGGCTTAAACCCACAACCTTATGACTCAGAGACGAGCGAGAGAGGGAGAGGGAGAGAGAGATGGAGAGAGAGAGGGAGAGAGAGGAGGGAGAGGGGAGAGAGAGGGAGAGAGAGAGAGGAGGAGGGAGGGAGAGGGAGAGAGAGAGGAGAGAGAGAGAGAGAGAGATGGAGAGAGGAGAGAGGAGAGAGGAGAGAGAGATGGAGAGAGAGAGGGAGAGAGGGGGAGAGATGGAGAGAGAGAGGGAGAGAGAGGGAGAGGGGGAGGGAGAGAGAGAGGGAGAGAGAGAGAGGGAGAGGACCAGTGACACTCAATTACATTACACTCCCCCACATCGATCATTGCCGGCAGTAGGTCGGAGGAGAGGGATGGAGTCACGGGATAATTTACTGATAGTCCGTCCGCGCTCCCACTTAATTATACCACAGCTCCAACTGCTGCAGTCAACTGCTCTGTTGCACTGAATAATATAATGATAGTAACACAACAATCTCACCTTCAAAGCCCCCCCCGTGGCCTCGCTCCCCTCTCCATAACTCTGTGACCTGCTGAACCCCCAACCAACCCGCCCGCTCCCTTCGCTCAGCGCTGCTCCAGCCTCCTCCGCGCCCCCCGCGCCCCCCGCGCCCCCCGCACCCCGCCCGGCCCGGCCCGGCCCTCCATCCGCAGCCTCCAGCGTTTTAATTCATCCTTTTTTTTTTGTTGTCATCACTTTTTTTAGTCTCCCTGTGGCTCAGGGGTTAGACCCCTCCCCTCGCACCCCACAGCCCCTGTAGCTCAGGGGTTAGACCCCTCCCCTCGCACCCCACAGCCCCTGTGGCTCAGGGGTTAGACCCCTCCCCTCGCACCCCACAGCCCCTGTAGCTCAGGGGTTAGACCCCTCGCCTCGCACCCCACAGCCCCTGTAGCTCAGGGGTTAGACCCCTCCCCTCGCACCCCACAGTCCCTGTAGCTCAGGGTTAGACCCCTCGCCCCCCACCCCACAGCCCCTGTAGCTCAGGGTTAGACCCCTCCCCTCGCACCCCACAGCCCTGT